ATACTGGCACTCTGCTGCATATGAGAGTCATCAAAATTTACTGGCAAGTGCTAACAGAGATCAGGCCTGATTCTGCAAACACTGCAGTTTTGTGTACAATGTATCAAATGACAGTGACCTACTGACACTGTAATTGTTGGGGGAGAAGGGGGGGGGGTAAGCATAGGGGCTAAACACAGGTGCTGACAGGTGCCGGGGCTGGTCCCGCTAACGCTGCGTTTTTGGGAATGCTATACTAATGTGAACGCTGGTATAGTGCTGATCTGATCAAAGATATTGATCCGTTCAGACTCTATACTAGCAATAGAGGTTTATTGTTTATGAGCATGTGTTCCTGGCAATCAAGGGGTTAAATATGATTACTGGTGTACTGACAGGCAATCTGACGCTATCTGGGAGGGGCATGAAAACCACGGGAGCGCGAATTACATATATATATATGTGATTTTGAGCACCCATGCCAACCTGTAGCAGTATTTCTGCTATAGGGAGGTCAGGAAGCAGTTACAGAAGCGATTTGTGTTACGGCGCTGCGTTACTTTAACTGACAATTGCGTGGTCATGCAACGCTGCACCCAAAATGAAATTTACTTTTTTACCCACGAATTGAGCTTTCTGCACTATAAAAAAAAAAAAAAAAAAAAAAAACCCGACAATTTTGAGAAAAAAATAAATAAACAAAAAGATATTTTGGACTTTTTGCTATAACACATGTCCAGTAAAAAATTTAAAAATCAAATTTCATCATAAATTTAGGCCAAAATGTATTCTGCGACATGTATTTGCTGAAAAAAAAAATCCCAATACGTGTAAATTAATTGGTTTATGTCAAAGTTATGGCGGTATAGATACTGGGATCTTGTTTTTTACTAATAATGGCAGCAATCAGCATCTGGGCTTTTGTCAGCCATCCACTGTCAGGCAGCGGGACGCCGCTTTACTGATCCAGGGATTTGAAATCTCCCTGGCCTAAACCTCTGGTGGAAAGTTGCAGCAATCCGACAAAGTTGATACCTGTCAAAAGTTATTACCCACCCCCCAAAAATACGCCAAAAATAGAAAAGGGGGACACCCTTTAGAGTGACGTTCAGATCTATAAGCAAGTTCTATCAACAAATATTGGCACACCCTCCATGTCAAAAAAAAAAAAAAAAAAAAAAAAAGGGGACAGGGCACGGCCGGCGACTGCGGACACAGGACAGGGCACGGCCGGCGACTGCGGACACAGGACAGGGCACGGCCGGCGACTGCGGACACAGGACAGGGCACGGCCGGCGACTGCGGACACAGGACAGGGGACGGCCGGAGACTGCGGACACAGGACAGGGGACGGCGGGAGACTGCGGACACAGGACAGGGGACGGCCCGGAGACTGCGGACACAGGACAGGGGACGGCCGGAGACTGCGGACACAGGACAGGGGACGGCCGGAGACTGCGGACACAGGACAGGGGACGGCCGGAGACTGCGGACACAGGACAGGGGACGGCCCGGACTGCGGACACAGGACAGGGGACGGCCGGAGACTGCGGACACAGGACAGGGGGGGACGGGACTGCGGACGACTGACAGGGGACACGGAGGACACAGGGGACGGCGGAGACGGTACGGAACCGGAGACTGCGGACAGTACAGGGGACAGATCGGAGACTGCAGACAGCACAGGGGACGATCGGAGACGGCAGACAGCACAGGGGACGATCGGAGACTGCAGACAGCACAGGGGACGATCGGAGACTGCAGACAGCACAGGGGACGATCGGAGACTGCAGACAGCACAGGGGACGATCGACTGCGGACACAGCACAGGGGACGATCGGAGACTGCAGACAGCACAGGGGACGATCGGAGACTGCAGACAGCACAGGGGACGATCGGAGACTGCAGACAGCACAGGGGACGATCGGAGACTGCAGACAGCACAGGGGACGATCGGAGACTGCAGACAGCACAGGGGACGATCGGGAGACTGCAGACAGCACAGGGGACGATCGGAGACTGCAGACAGCACAGGGGACGATCGGAGACTGCAGACAGACTGCGGACACACAGGGGACGATCGGAGACTGCAGACAGCACAGGGGACGATCGGAGACTGCAGACAGCACAGGGGACGATCGGAGACTGCAGACAGCACAGGGGACGATCGGAGACTGCAGACAGCACAGGGGACGATCGGAGACTGCAGACAGCACAGGGGACGATCGAGACTGCAGACAGCACAGGGGACGATCGGAGACTGCAGACAGCACAGGGGACGATCGGAGACTGCAGACACAGCACAGGGGACGATCGGAGACTGCAGACAGCACAGGGGACGATCGGAGACTGCAGACAGCACAGGGGACGGGAGACTGCAGACAGCACAGGGGGATCGACGGAGACTGCAGACAGCACAGGGGACGATCGGAGACTGCAGACAGCACAGGGGACGATCGGAGACTGCAGACAGCACAGGGGACGATCGGAGACTGCAGACAGCACAGGGGACTGCAGACTGCAGACAGCAGGGGACGATCGGAGACTGCAGACAGCACAGGGGACGATCGGAGACTGCAGACAGCACAGGGGACGATCGGAGACTGCAGACAGCACAGGGGACGACGATCAGACAGACAGCACAGGGGATCGGAGACTGCAGACAGCACAGGGGACGATCGGAGACTGCAGACAGCACAGGGGACGATCGGAGACTGCAGACAGCACAGGGGACGACCGGAGACTGCAGACAGGACGACCGGAGACTGCAGACAGAACAGGGGACGACCGGAGACTGCAGACAGAACAGGGGACGACCGGAGACTGCAGACAGAACAGGGGACGACCGGAGACTGCAGACAGAACAGGGGACGACCGGAGACTGCAGACAGAACAGGGGACGACCGGAGACTGCAGACAGAACAGGGGACGACCGGAGACTGCAGACAGAACAGGGGACGACCGGAGACTGCAGACAGAACAGGGGACGACCGGAGGACTGCAGACAGAACAGGGGACGACCGGACTGCAGACAGAACAGGGGACGACCGGAGACTGCAGACAGAACAGGGGACGACCGGAGACTGCAGACAGAACAGGGGGGACGACCGGAGACTGCAGACAGAACAGGGGACGACCGGAGACTGCAGACAGAACAGAACAGGGGACCGGAGACTGCAGACAGAACAGGGGACGACCGGAGACTGCAGACAGACAGGGGACGACAGGACTGCAGACAGAACAGGGGACGACCGGAGACTGCAGACAGAACAGGGGACGATCGGAGACTGCAGACCTTTGGGGAGGGAGGGGGAGCGGGTGTAGCAAACTTGCTCATCAGCGTTGGACGCGGAGTTCCCCATTTTCTTTTCTTTTGGTGGAGGTATTCCTCAGCCTTCATTCCCTACCCCCTCCCTTCCTGAGAGGCAAATGTATCTCCTGACAGATGGTGTGGGTCAGCCCAGGTTAAGACATCCTGAGTCCGTGCCAGGCAGTCTGTGAGAGTGTAACCTTTCTCACCCATCATAAAACAGATAAGGCAGCTTCTCCCCCGGACTTGGAACCTCATAAAACTGACCAGCAGTTAATTGAACATTCCTCAGGTCAACTGTGTGTTTTTATATCATGGAGTATGAAGCTGTTAGTGTTCAGAGCCGTCCACCCCCCCCCCCCCCCCCTTGAGAGGGATTTTAAAAAGGACAGGCTGGAAGCTAAGCTAAACACATCTCCTGAGTTTAACATCGTAGCAGAGGAGATCAAAGACCCTTCCTGCTCTGCACTTGGATCTGCTTACAAACAAAGGCATATTGGCAAGTAACTTAACCCTTTAACTTCCTTCCCATCATCTCTTTGCTGTACCTTTATATGAACATATATATATATATATATATATATATATATATATAGTTACATTTTCTTTGTAAATATTTTATTGCACCTGTTTGACTCTTTTAGCAATAAATCTTTCTTTCTTAAAGTGTTAAACTGTAAGCGCTTACTTGCAATTCACAAATTCCTGCCTTTGAAGAGACGCTACGGTGTTTGTTTAATCCTCTGCCCAATCGGCCTGCACTGACCATATTGGACAGGCGACTTTTCAATCATTAGTGTATATTTGATAACGGGAGTTTCCCAGTCTCCGACAAAAGTGGTGGTGGCAGTAGAGGGTTAGTTGCATAATTAACCCGACCCAGTAACAAGCGCATTCAGGCTGCAGGCACCGATTGTAGCCCATTAGCTGGACAATCGCTGTGCAGGGTGCAGCTGGGTGGGGCCTTGTTACGCGCGTCACACCGCGGTTTTAGATCGGCCGGTCACGAGTTGGTGAGAAGGTCTGGGGTCTGACGCCATGGGCATGACGTATTACTGTTAGTCGCGGTCGTGCGATTGTCGCATGTTGGTGGCGGCGACCGTGCGATCGTGACAGTGGGTACCTGAAGTTGTCCTTTCTTTAGTGTGGGCACGCTGGCTTCTTCCCGCGCCGGCTTCTGTGGCAGCCGGGTGCCCACTGCGCACGCGCGAGAAGCGCTGCATTTTGGGGTGCAGGGCTTTAGGACTATGTGCATAGCACGAAACGCGTCCATAAGACGCACTGACATTTTCCCCCCTTTTTTTGGGGGAAAAAAATGCGTCTTATGGAGCGAAAAATACGGTACTTACCTTACATCTGACATACACCTAACAAAGTCAAGTGATCAGCCTCTTCTATCAACGATTTTTCCTTGCTGCATTAGGCTATGATTGGATGTGCAGCCACATTTCTGCAGCTCTGAAAAGCTATCAACGGTAGATTGCTTTTCAGAGGTACTTGACAGGCCGTGAAGAGATGATATACCACCTCATCACCGCCTGTTTTAGCCCTGTAAATCCATCACAATTTTGTGCATTACACTCAGTAAATGGGCCCTTAACCGCCTCCCGCTCACCATATAAGGAAATGACAGGCGCAAGGCGGTTCTCGTGTTCTAACCGCGCATGCGCGGCTCTGGGGGCGCGCAGCGCGGCGATCGGTCCCTCGGACACAGCGGATCACCGATCAACCGAAAGAGCCGAAGACGTCAGCTCAGTCATGTGATCAGCTGTGTCCAATTACAGCTGATCTCATGTAAATAAGGAAATGCCAGTTATCTGCATTTCTCTCCTCACGAGGAGAGGAGAGCCGGTAATCGGCATTCCCCAGAGGGGACATGTACACTGATCAGGACACTGATCATCAGGGCACTGATGATCAGTGTGCCCTGATGATCAGTGTAGCCCCAGCAGTGCCACTTGTCAGTGTCCATCAATGCCAGCTGTCAATGCTCATCAATGCCACCTGTCAGAGCCTCTCAGTGCCATATCAATGCCACATATCAGTGCCTACCAGTGCACATCAATGCCACATATCAGTGCCACCTATCAGTAGCACCCATCAATGCCAATCAGTGCCGCCTACCAGTGCCATACATGAGTGCTGCCTTTCAGTGCCCATCAGTGATGCCTGTCAGTACCGATCAGTGCCACCTATCAGTGCCCCTTCATCAGTGCACAACAGTGCCACCTATCAGTGCCCATCAGTGCAGCCTGTCAGTGCTCATCATTGTAGCCTCATTAGCACACATCAGTGAAGGAGAAAAATCACTTATTTACAAAATTTTATAGCAAAAACTAAGAAAACAATTTTTTTTTTTTTCAAAATTTTCAGTTGTTTTTGGTTTAACAAAAAATAAAAAACCAAGAGGTGATTAAATACTACCAAAAGAAAGCTTTGTCTCAAAAAAATGATAAAAATTTCATACGAGTACAGTGTTGCATGACCGCACAATTGTCATTCAAAGTGCGACAGTACTGAAAGCTGAAAATTGGCCTGGGCAGGAAGGGGGTATAAGTGCCCTGTAGGCAAGTGGTTAAAGTATATGCAAGGGCAAAACTTTTTTTTTTTTTCTTAGTTTTGGATCCAGTGGAGAAGACAAGAGATGACACATTCCAAGGTTTATTTGCTGTCTGTATCCCTGCTGGGCAGACTGAACCTTCAATTTATGCCAATGAGCACCGTCACCAACAAAGTGAGGGGAAATTCAAAATTTTAGAATTGCTGAGATTTTTTTTATTGCTGTGAGTAAATAATTAATGATGCCACGCTTCTTAAAAATCAATAAACATTACACATGCAATAATAAATGCAAATACAACAAATCTAATAGTGATTAAAGTTTGAGAGCCCTCTCTGTTATGTATAAAACATGTATAAAACATCATTAATATTGTGACATCCTCTTCTCAAACACAGGGCTGTTGAATTCCTATTGCCCAACGCCAGGACATGTAGTTCTGGGCGCCAGGCAGGTAGGTTTATTTTCACCTTTAGCCCTGCTGCAGGCAAGTAGCAGGGCTCACCTGTCAGGTGGAAGCATTCAGGCGGCAGCACTGCCGCCCGAATGCTTCCACACAGTGCCAGCCTCTCCGCCCCCCCGCCCACTATCTCCCGGGCTCCACTTGCCATCTGCGGGCCTGGGACCGGCTCAGTGCCAGCGGATAGAGAGGGGGGAGGAGATCCCCTCCTCTTCTTGTCCTGACCCAGAAGTGACGTTATGTCACTCCCGGTTCCCCGTTGAGAGATTCCCAGCAATTGAAGCCGGAAAAGAATGTAATGTGGTGCAATGTGCACCACATTACATTCAGGGGTGCAGAGGAGAGACATGCAGGGTCTTTTAGACCTTGAATGTCACAATAAAGAGAACCTGTCACCAAAAAATCATCACATAGGGGACATTGTCCCCTATGTGATGAAAAAAATAAAAAAGGGATTTTTTTTTTTTAATTGTAAGAAATGAAAAGTTACACCCAAGCACATAACATCCCCCACATATATACACACACGTACAAATGAAAAAAGCATATGCTAGGGCACCTATGCATGAAAACGTTGATTGCGATACACATTACATATCGCCGCACACGCCAGAATGAGAGCAATAATTCTAGCACCAGACCTCCTCCGTAACACTATACTGATGACCTAGAAGGGGCTGTAAAAGCGTCACCTATAGAAAATATAGGGTACTGAAGTTTGTCGCCATTTCATGAGTGCACACAAATTTATGGTTTGACAAGTTGGATATCTATTTACTTGCTGCAACCTCATCTTTTATAATTTACAAAAAATAGGATAATTTTTTGCCCTAAAATGAACTTGTATTTTTTACTGAAATTTTGCAGTAATATCATGCGACATAAAAAATTGGAGCTACCACTATTTTATTCTCTAGGGTCTCTGATTTCAGAAAATATACCATGTTTGGGGGTTTTGTGTAATCTTCGGGCCTAAAATTATTTTATTTAAATCTTGTGCAAAGGATGTCACAATATTAAGTAGTTTTTATACATAACCGAGAGGACTCATTAACTTTAATCACTATTAGATTTGTTGTATTTGCATTTATTAGTGCATGTGTAATGTTTATTGATTTTTAAGAAGCGCTGCGTCATTATTTATTTTACATTTCATATTTTGGCACATTGATATGGGTATGTAGATGTGAGCTGCTTCTTTATTGAATTGTTTTTGCATTGCTTTGTTTGGCTGCTTGCAAGCTTTTTTTTATATTTGTGAGTAAATACTTGATCCTGCCAGTTTCTCTCTCTCTCTAAGGCTTTTTTAATAAGGTTACCTATTAATTCTGCAGGACAGTGCTCAGGACAGGGCCTCTGTTTTCAACCAATTTGCTATAGTCCTGCCCCCTGTTGGTTGATTGACAGCTACTCTGACCATTTAGTAGCTGAGTAAGCAAGGATGAAAGTACCAGAAACAAATGTATAAAGTCCAGATATGATTTTTTTCAGATTATATCATTAACATCTAATGTGTTGTGGGGGTTAAGATTCCCCTTTCAGCAGGGTCTGGTACTGAACAAAGGGTGTACTGGACTGACAGAACTGTGGGGATACCTGAGGGGTATGATCACTCCAAATGCTACTGTAAATATGATCGCTGGGTTGATTTGCAAACAGATCTGGGAACACCACATCTGAACAAAAAATTCATATAAAATGTGAAATCAAATTAAATATATTGGTGTATTACTTCTTGGAGCACCTAAAAAGTCCATTTGATTTGTTTTCAAACTGCAAATACTAGTCAAGCCAAGGCAATGGTGATTATTAGTCACCCCTCAGTTCTATTAGTCCAGTACATACTTTGTTCAACAAAACCATGCCATGATAAGGGGGACCCTTTTAATTCTTGAAATTCTTTGGCTTTTTAGGATATAAGAATCTGAACAAAACCAAATCTGGACTTCATATGCCCCCTACCACCATTACAGTCTGCCATAACCCTCAGCGAAAGTGGCGAGTGTGTCAGCACTTACATGCTGACTAGGGATAAGCTGGGTTCAGACTGAATTCAGTTTAGCAGAACCTGTGGCATGATTGGACCAATGAAGATGTAATCAGCTTAGGCCAGGCCATCCACCATCCTACATGTACACAAAGAAACAGGGATGCTCGTAACAACATTGACCTAATAGGACCACATCCCCATATTAGGTTAATGACATTGGCCAATTATGGAGAATTCCCCAGCGGATTGAGGCAGTGGGAAATGTAATCATGTGACAGCTTCCCACACATGTTCTGTTGAACTGGGTTCAGACCAATAGCAGCTCATCCCTAGTATGCACACCTCATGACACACTCACTACTTCCACTGAGGTGGTTGGCAGACTGTAAAGTTGGTAGGAAGCACCCAGAATGAAACAGGACGTGTGTCAGTGGAATTAGGGAAAGTGTGTCAGTGGAATTAGGGAAGCAACTGATAAGTAGGTCAAGAAGTCCAGAAACAGTAGAGTTGTTAAGGACATGGGAGATGGGTCATGGCTTTTTTGACAGGTAATACTTAATGGGATACCATAGAGCCCAGATTACCCCTGGACCCGAGTCAGGGGAGATGAACTTGATATATGGCTTAGTGCACTGAATAAGTGCTCATGTACATGGGTGCAGAGAGCTGTATGCCATGTCAAAAAATGGCAAGAATGGAGGGAGGGGAACCAGACAGTACTGTTCTACTTCTCTGTGCAATATGAAAATTCTCCAAGAAAAAAATGTACCTGCCCCTAACCCTCTGGGAAGCCTTACTGCACTCATGCATCCCAAACCTAAGAAAGCATAAACAGAACATGGTGGTGAAAAATGAGTGTACCTCTGCACCTGGGAGTTATGCATACCAGCACATTATGTCATGAGTCTGCAGGGGGACCATTTCCTTTTTCTACGTGTTTTACTATAGCTTTAAACCGGTCATACATTGCTGTTTTTTCAGCCAATTTCCCCATCCAAATATTTGAAGTAGATGGGAAAATCCTTTCTCCTGTGCCCTTGTATTCTGACAGCGGCACTTCCCTGCCTTCAGAATACACTGATCAGTGCTGCTGCTGATTGGCTGCATGCATTGCTCAACTGAAAATATACCAACAAGCCCATCCATGAATAGTTGATCAACAGATTGACTTTTCATAAACAAGAACAGCCATACATGGACAGAAATTTGGCCGGTTCCTGCTGAAATGGCTGGATTTCGATTCATGTACGGCCAGTTTTAAGCATGCTGAATTAGGACTCATGCACATGGGTATGTTTCTATGCAGGGCCTCACTATGAGCATAGTTCTGCATAAAACAGTTGTGTATGTGCTGTACACGTATGCAAACGTTTACAGCGTACATGGATCCTATCGGCCACCACTTCTAAGGCTAGCCATGTAGATATCAATGTGTGTAGCGGTGGCACCACTGCTGATAAATATACTGTTTTTTTTCGCTCCATAAGACGCACCTAGATTTTAGAGGCAGAAAACAGGAAAAAATAGTACAGGAGATGACCACAGACCGCTGACATCGTACAGGAGATGACCACAGACCGCGGACATCGTACAGGGGATGACCACAGACCGCGGACATCGTACAGGGGATGACCACAGACCGCGGACATCGTACAGGGGATGACCACAGACCGCGGACATCGTACAGGGGATGACCACAGACCGCGGACATCGTACAGGGGATGACCACAGACCGCGGACATCGTACAGGGGATGACCACAGACCGCGGACATCGTACAGGGGATGACCACAGACCGCGGACATCGTACAGGGGATGACCACAGACCGCGGACATCGTACAGGGGATGACCACAGACCGCGGACATCCACAGACCGCGGACATCGTACAGGGGATGACCACAGACCGCGGACATCGTACAGGGGATGACCACAGACCGCGGACATCGTACAGGGGATGACCACAGACCGCGGACATCGTACAGGGGATGACCACAGACCGCGGACATCGTACAGGGGATGACCACAGACCGCGGACATCGTACAGGGGATGCCACAGACCGCGGACATCGTACAGGGGATGACCACAGACATCGTACAGGGGATGACCACAGACCGCGGACATCGTACAGGGGGATGACCACAGACCGCGGACATCGTACAGGGGATGACCACAGACCGCGGACATC